ATCTATGTCGAAGACAGAATTATGGCACATGAGATTGGGCCATGTCAGCGAAAGAGGCCTGGTCGAATTGGGGAAGCAGAACCTGCTAGGAGGTGACAAAGTCGAAAAGTTGGAATTTTGTGAATCTTGTGTATTTGGTAAATCCTGTAGGGCGAAGTTTAACAAAGGCAAGCAAAGAACACATGGATCCCTGGATTACATTCATGCTGATCTTTGAGGGCCTGCAAGGAATCCTTCACACTCAGGTGCAAGGTATTTTCTATCCATCATTGATGACTATTCCAGAAATCTATGGATATTCATTCAGAAGACGAAGGATGAAACTTTTGAGAATTTCAAAAGTTGGAAGATTCTAGTCGAAACTCAGACTGGCAGAAAGGTTAAGAGGTTGAGAACCGACAATGGCCTTGAATTCTGCAACGAAGCTTTCGACAGTTACTGTGTTGGGTCTGGGATTGCAAGGCATAAGACTGTAGCAGGTACTCCTCAACAAAATGGCTTAGCTGAGAGATTCAATCGAACAATCCTTGAAAGGGTTAGATGCATGTTGGTTAGTGCTGGATTGAAGAAGGTGTTTTGGGCGGAAGCTGTTTCGACATCAGCTTACCTGATAAATAGATGTCCCTCGACTGCCTTGGGAATGAAGACACCTGAAGAAGTTTGGTCGGGACATCCACCTAGTCTCGACAGACTGAGAGTATTTGGCTGTGTGGCCTATGCTCATATTAGGCAAGACAAGGTCGAACCTAGAGCTCTGAAATGCATGTTCATGGGATACCCTAAAGGAGTCAAAGCTTATAGGCTATGGTGCCTAGAGCCAGGTCACAGGAGGTGTATCACCAGTCGAGATGTAGTTTTCAACGAAGCAGAGATGGCTTTCAAGAAAACTGATGATGTTGACGAAGAGCTGGAACAGGGAGAGATTCCTGTTGAGGTGGAGCATGTTGATGCTGAATTGCTTACCCCAGATGAAGTCGAAAAAGACACAGAAGATGTTGTCGAAGATGAGGAGACTGATAATGACTACCTGCTAGCAAGAGACAGGTCGAGGAGAGTCATCAAGCCACCTCAGAGACTTGGGTATGCAGATCTTATAGCTTATGCCTTAATCTCTGCAAGTGAGGTTCTAGACGAAGAACCTAGAGACTATAAGGAAGTTATGAGGAATCAAAAGAAGACAAATTGGTCTTTGATGTATGCTATGGTATGTACTAGACCCGACATAGCATATGCAGTAAGTCTTGTAAGCAGGTACATGGCGAATCCTGGAAAGGCTCACTGGCAAGCATTGAAGTGGATTTTAAGGTACATAAATGGGTCTCTGAATAGAGTCCTAATTTATGGTGGAGCCTTGGGTGAAGATAGTAAAGCAGTAATCGAAGGATATGTCGACTCTGATTATGCAGGTTGTATGGATTCTAGAAAATCTATCTCCGGATATGTGTTCACTATGTTTGGGACAACAATCAGTTGGAAAGCAACACTTCAGAAGGTCGTTGCCTTATCAACCACTGAAGCGGAGTATATTGCTCTAACTGAAGCTGTGAAGGAAGCAGTGTGGCTTGAAGGTTTTGCAAAGGAGTTAAAACTTCAAGGTCGAGTTATCACTGTTAAATGTGATAGTCAAAGTGCAATACATCTGTCGAAGAATTCAGCCTATCATGAGCGAACCAAGCACATTGATGTGAGGCTGCATTTCATCAGAGGGGTAATCGAGCATGGAGAAGTCCAAGTGCTGAAAGTTTCGACAGATCATAATGCTGCTGATATGATCACCAAGACATTGCCCAGTTGCAAGTTTTTCCACTGTATGCAGTTAATAAATCTGCATGAAGAAAGCTAGTTTCTTGATGTTATAGAGTTAGATCCAAGGTGGAGATTTGTGAGACATTGGATCGAACTCTAGTGTGGTCGAAGTCTGTTCGCAAGTAATGCGTGTTGTAGTCGAAGTTTGTTCTAACATGCATGAGTAAATATTGCTAAGGTTGTTAGCATGAGTAAATATTGCTAAGGTTGTTAGCATGAGTAAATATTGCTAAGATTGTTAGCATGAGTAAATATTGCTAGGGTTGTTAGCATGTTGAATTGGGTCTTGCTTGTAAGCCCAATTGTTTAAGTTAGCTTGTACCCTAAGTTAGCTTGTAATGGGTAATTGTTAAAAAGCCCATTAGGTTAGTGTGCTATTTTATTATAAATAGGATGCTAGTTTCTCAATCTTGGCATAAGGAAAAATAAAGATAAAATCCTAATTTCAAGGGAGAGAAATTATTTTTGTTATTCTTGTATACTTGTAATCTTGTTCTAAGAGAAAGGAAAGAATAGCAGTTTAATAACCAATCCTTGTTGTTCCTTGTTGCTTGTTTTTTTTGTTAACCCTAACCCTTGTGTGTTTCTTGATAAGTAAGAAACCCTATTCTGATGATGAGAAGTTGCTGATGCACATGTGGAGACTAATGGAGAGGCCAGTATAGAAATAACTATAAAGAAGAGAACCTTGACTCCCTTTACAGGGACGCTGCCATCTGGTTATGCTGTGAACGCGCGCTATGAATTCCATTCGGGGGCACCTGGCCACTCGATTGAGAATTGTAAAGCCTTTAACGCCGCCATCTGGTTATGATGTGAACGCGCGCTATGATGTGAACGCGCGCTATGAATTCCATTCGGGGGCACCTGGCCACTCGATTGAGAATTGTAAAGCCTTTAACGCCGCCTCATTAACGCCGTGAATAGCCCGATTGCTCGGGTATCGTGCCTAAGTGCTCAAGTGCCGTCTACAAGACGCCACTAGCGCCTCTAGGCCCACGCCCTCGGACCACCACATATGACTATGTGGCACTTTATCCTCTTTGGCTCCTTTGGAAAGTACATTGTTTCAAGGGTCTTATAAATGCTATTTAATTTTACTCCACTTCCAATGTGGAACTTATTTGAAGCATTTTTTGCCAATTAACTATATCACCCACTGTCATTTTGAAACAACTTAATGGAAATAAGTATTCATTATTTCCAACATTAACCACCCTGATATTCCCCTAAATGAGCTTTTCTTAGAGGTTATTTTAGAGGTTACTGTTAATTTGATGATACATGACTATTTGTTTAAAAGAAGCTTTTGTTTGATGATTGTCAAGAATAGATTACCGAACACGGTTGGTTAGCAACATTACAGCGTCTGCAACGACTAGTTTGCAGCACTATGGCGCCTAAGGCGAATGGTTAAAGGCAGCATGACATCTCCGTCGGAAGGTTGAGCAAAGAGCGAGTTAGTTGAGTTTTGCAATGAGTTGAGTTAGAGAAAAAACCTTGTAAACTACTTACAAGGTTTCTACAGGTTTGGTATTTTTATTTGGCATAATTTATATGTGCATATATAAATATATTGACATGATTTATGTCTGCATACATATTTATTTAGCATAATTTATGATTGTGACGGCTCAAACAGAATGTGATACCATTTATTCTATAAATCATACTCTTTCTTTCTCGAAATAAAAATCTCTTTTAATTAAAGAACTTTCTCTCAAAATAAATGTAGTTTTACTTCTCTAACACTAAATGAATTAAATTTTACTTTTAATTATTATTGTCTTACTTATTTTATTTTATAGTAATCATTAAATCAATCTATAATAAGCAGTACATATTTGTTAAATTATCACATTTATTTATAAATCCACTCCATTTCTTTGTCCCTCCATTTTCTTCATTACTATAGTTTTTATGTGTACAAAAGTAACTAAATATTAATTATATGTCACATGTTTTGGAAATGTGTATTATTTACACACAAAACTATAATAATGGAAAAAATAGAAGGACAAAGAAATGGGGTGGATACCAACCCAAACCTTACAAAATTATTTTGAGTGTCACTAGAATAAAAACAAGAATTTGTCTTTGCAAGAACACAAGGTAGTACCGTTTATCAGAAAACGCGTGCAGTTGTCATCACTAGGACACATACTGCCGTCATGCAGTACCAATCATAAAACTCGTTTAAAGAAGAAAAATGAATTAAAATAAAAGCTTAAAATGGATTATTCAAGTGACGATGGAGCTGTGAGTTGAGGTCACTTCCGTGTTCCTTCGTTTTCAAGGCTACCCCACCAAAACCAAAATAGTATTCAACTTAACCGAGTAACAAGAGATAGGAATCTGCAAAAAGCCAAAAACACAACGTCTAATTAATTAATTATTTAATACATGTGTTTATTATTTATATCACCCATCTATTAAATCTAGCTCAATGATTCCAAATCCTAAACAAACAAAAAAAAATCATAATCAATTATCATAATTTTTCTCTCTCTCTCTCTCTCTCTCTCTCTTCACCACAATCTTCAGGTATGGTGATTTTCTCCAACTCTTCTATCATGATCTTTGTTTACTTGATGTATTATCAATTAGGATATTTCTAGGGTTTCGGAGCATAATTTTTTTATAAGATATATGAGAAATTATTTTGGATCTGTAATTGGAATTCAAATTCTGTAGAGTAGTAGTAGTAGTTTGAGAAAATAAATTTGGTTAGTTTAACAAGTCGTGTTAAGTGTCAGATCGAATCGAACACGCCTTTGTCTTCAATCAGTAGTGTAGGTGTTTCATAGTGACAATTTGAAACTGTCAATTTGACACAGATTCTCAAATTCTTTGGTGATTATATGTAATTTCTGGATTAGTACTCTTCGCTGATTATCTGTTATCATTTAGCTTGAATTTTGTTTCTTGAAGTATGTTTTTGCTATTATTCAAACTGTTAAAGTTTCCATAACAGTTTTATTATGTTATGCAGATTCTGTTTCTTAAATACAATTATGAACTGTTGTTGGTGATCATTATGGCATGTAGCTGATGACCGAAATGGTGACTCAATAGTATTCTGCAAAACTCTACTGCTAAGCTCTTTCTGTATCTAGGGAGTGAACTGGTGGAGTCGGGAATAACCTTTTCGCTTACAATTACGTAGATTTGCTACTCTCTAATCTCTAGTCAAGATGCAATCGTCTCGGGAAGGACCGAATTCAGCGGGTCTCAATTTCTATCACCAACCTGGTCAGGGAATTTACCTACAGGGCAATCTATGTGTTGATAGACATGGTAGCAGCAGCCAGGGAACTGGTTTTTCTTTCGAAACTAGCAAGGAGCAATGCTTCCCCGTGGAGTCATACCCGGAAATTGTTGGGTTCATGGATTGTGATTCCCCTTCCTATGCCAGTGTATCATCTAACAAGAGTCCGTTTTCCCCGCAAGATTCTCAGTCTTGCTATTCGGATCACCACCAGTCATCTGACAACACCTATGGATCGCCGATAAGCGGGATGTCTAGTGTTGATGATGGAAATGATTTGAAACACAAGCTTAAAGAGCTGGAAAATTCTCTATTGGGGCCTGATGATTTCGATATTGTTGACAGTTACGGAAGCAGCTTGGAGGCTAGTCTCCACGGAGCATGTCAGTCGGCTAAATATAATTGGGATCTGATTGCCGAAAATATTCCAAAGCTTGACATGAAAGAAGTCCTATTGCTATGTGCACAAGCTGTGTCTGATGGCGATATTCAAACAGCAAGAGGCTGGATGGATAATGTATTGGTGAAGATGGTGTCGGTAGCCGGAGAACCAATCCAGAGGTTAAGTGCTTACTTGTTGGAAGGGCTTAGAGCAAGGTTGGAATCGTCCGGAATCTTGATCTACAAGGCCTTGAAATGTGAACAACCAACAAGCAAAGAGCTAATGAGTTATATGCACGTCCTGTATCAAATGTGCCCATATTTTAAATTTGCTTACATATCTGCAAATGCTGTTATTCATGAAACAATGGCAAATGAATCCCGGATTCATATAATCGATTTCCAAATTGCACAGGGCACACAGTGGCATTTACTTATTCAAGCTCTTGCACACAGACCTGGCGGACCCCCTTTCATTCGAGTAACAGGTGTTGATGATTCCCAATCATTTCATGCTCGCGGTGGAGGACTTCAGATTGTGGGACAACGGCTTTCAGATTTCGCCAGATCTTGCGGGGTTCCGTTTGAGTTCCATAGTGCCGCAATGTCTGGTTGCGAAGTTCAAAAAGAAAATCTTAGTATTAGGCCTGGGGAAGCCCTTGCTGTAAATTTCCCTTATATTTTGCACCACATGCCAGACGAGAGTGTGAGCATAGAGAATCATAGAGACAGATTGCTGAGATTGGTTAAAAGCTTGTCTCCAAAGGTTGTTACCCTTGTTGAGCAAGAATCCAACACCAATACTTCTCCTTTCTTTCATAGGTTTGTTGAGACAATGGATTATTACACAGCCATGTTCGAGTCAATAGATGTTGCTTGCGCCAAAGACGATAAGAAGCGGATTAGTACAGAGCAGAACTGTGTTGCACGGGACATCGTCAACATGATAGCCTGTGAGGGGATTGAAAGGGTCGAGAGGCATGAACTTTTTGGAAAGTGGAGGTCGAGATTCTCCATGGCTGGATTTAAACAATGCCAATTAAGTTCTTCAGTGATGCATTCTGTCGAAAATATGTTGAAGGACTTCAATCAAAACTATCGACTGGAACATAGAGACGGTGCTCTCTATCTTAACTGGATGAAAAGAGCTATGGCCACTTCTTCTGCATGGAGGTGAAACTGACCCTTTATTTTTCGAGTACTTTTTGACATGTACTTTAGTTTAGCCAAATGCGTGGTATCCGATGTTTCTTCATAGTAGTATAAACTTTGAGATTTAGCTCTATCACTCTACATGTACCTTTTAGCAGGTTATTCTGTAGTCTGCAGCAGAATCTCAAAACTTATTGTAAATGGCAATACTGAAATGAAAGAAATTGTGAGATTTACTATATTTAACTGTCTGAGATGAGTGAAGTACTCATTTTTGTTTCTTTGTTTAATTCTTTATCATTGTAATGCAAAATTTTCCAAAGCCTTACATTTTTGGATTTACAAGTTTAGTTTACTTGCAAAATAGTGATTTTATGTGCAAATGCAATTGAACTTATCATGTGATATAATTAGTGGTCAAGATACAAAATCATGTGGTAGGAATTCAGTGATCCCCACCAAATAAAGCTAAAAATATATCATCTGATAGTACTATAAATTGGATAGTTGTCCTTTTAATATTGAACAACTTGATCAATGAAGACAAACAATGACCCATGTGCTGAAATGAATAAATAAATATTCCATGTTCTAGGATGTTTCCTCTCTTAAAAGAAGTTTCAGAATATATCACTGGAAGTGGTTGAAATAAAGTCAAACACAGCAACAAGAACAATGAATTCCACATGTTATTTGCAATATAAAAGTCATAGTCCCCATCTACAATGACTTCTGAGAAGCTAGGGGGAATTTCTAGCTATAAAGAAAAAAATGAAATTGAAATATTTATAATGACACTTTATTTTATTTTTTTGGTAATATTTTAGCGAGAAAATATCTCTGACAATTAATATGTTTTTATATTATTTGTCTTTAACACTTTTGATTTTTTAATATCAGAAGTCGTGAATCTTTTACAAATAGTAAAGATTCATGCATAGTAATGTTGTATTTTTTAGGACAATAGTAATGTTGTATTTTTTAGGACAATGAATATAGTTCTTAAAATGATTAGTTCTACTTGTCCGTTTGAATATTTATTTTTATATAATAATATTGGTATGCTCATAATATTATTTTCTAAAACACATAACCTAAATGATAAACATCTTCACTGTGTTTCAAAGAAATTGAATACTCCTCCTTCACTTTCTTAAGATCTTCTTATCTTTGCAGAAGAATGGAATCAGAAGACATAATATAGAAGGCATAAAGCAACTCATAAGCACTAGAAATAGTAAAATTATCCTTTACTCTCACATATATCCAATACCTCAGGTCCTAACCTTCTTCAGTTTGTTACGAGGACATCACATTTGGCTGATAGCCTTAGCAATTTCCTCCTGACTAATGTTCTCTCCCAAATTTATTGCCAACTGGTCATAAATCTTGACAAATTTATACACAATGGACACATTATCTTTCTAAATAAATAACTCCTCATTATCCATGTTCTTGATGTGGGCTCTGCCCTCTATCCAAGCACCCCTCATTATGGAACATGTGAATATGATTCTTCCTTTTCCTATTAACTGCCATGATTTAATATCAAGTTTACGGTCTCCATCATGAAGCCACCGAGTTATAGAACACTGAAACCAAATCAACTCATCCTTATTAAAGAACTTGTGTAAGCTCTTTTTAAAGGTGAATTTCCAATTGATAAAAAAATGGGTTCATCTCACCTTCATGGGGCTCCTTAAAGACGAGCATGAAGGACTTCTTCTTAACCGCGCTTTTAAAGGTATTGGCTCTCCAATCATTGAGACGATTCTCAATAGAGAATAAATTGGTTACAAGATCAACATCATTATGTTACATACACTCTTCTGATTACTAGAGGAGAGTCCATTCAGATTGAGCCTGACAATTGATGAGGCTGGGTCAGTCAGCATTAAGCCCAAATATATTACCCAACCACATGTGAACCTCAAAGATTATGTGTTATACAAGTGATAATAGCTGATGGTTCTAGAAGAAAATCTTGCATTAGATTCAGTTTGGTAGAATATCCCTAATGATGTGATATTAGTTTTTTTATGCTTTGTTATTTTTCTTTATAAACACTTGTAATTCATTGTAAGAGATCATTAATAAAATTACTAATTCTCTGCGTTCATCTATTTTTTTTAAGAAGGTATTTAATCCTCGATTTTGAGATATATCATTAACTTTGAAGTTGTTATTTACAGTAAGATATGAAATTGTAAATTTGTTGTTCATTTGTTCTAGTTGTGCGTTATATTGCATATACATCATATGTTGTCATTGTGTGAAAAAGACGAGTCACGAGTTCAGATGTTGGGACTAGCGACTTGTCTCAATCTCAGATGTTGGGGCTTGAGCCCAAATGTTAGAAATTGGAATTCAGATGATGGGACTTGGTTTGTATGAAGAATTTTTTGTTGAGTTGGTACCACACACATGAATTGAGTCGTTATCACATTGCATTACATAAAGGTTGTGCATATGAGTTGTTTTGTGTGTTGTTGAGTAATTGTTGTAATAATGTATGTAATTGGTGTTCCGGACTGGGCCTCGGCTTAGTCCCTAGGGCCAGTCCGATACTATTATTACGGCCCAAAAGCAGTCCCAAGGCCAGGAGTCACCCATCTCGACCGGATGGAACACATGAGCCGGGCAGGAGCATCACCTAATCCGCACGCCTGCTACCGCACCCCCTCCTCGGGAACTCCTCGCCTATCGCCTGCCCGTCCCGGACATCAGCTGTACCCGCCGAGCAGGATACATGTCCTCCGGCCATGGTACATATCTTCCGGCCAGAATAACGTGCCTCGAACACGTTCTCCACGTGCTCCCCTCCGCGGGGACACGTCACTACCAACTGCCCATCTTCGAAAGAATCGGTCAAGCCCACCTCCCGGAGATCGCAGACAGTTGAACTAGGGCGAAGACCACGTTTCGGTCTTCACTATGCCACGTAAGCCCTAACAGTCATTTGGGTTGGGCCTGGTCATCCAGCCCATCCCAAAATGACCGTTGATCCAGCGTTGGGGTCTCTCTATAAATACCCTCTTCCACAAGAGGGTCAGGTACACACTTCTTCTAACTTTCTGTTCTTGCTTCCACTCTGTTCCCATTCTTACTTTGGCATCGGAGTGCCTTGCAGGTACACCCCCCACCTTCTCCGAAGAGACGTTTGTTCCAAGCCCATATCGTCGACACGTGACCGGCTGTCAACCCTTCTGATCAGGTAAGATCAGTGGCGCCGTCTGTGGGAAACAAAAGCTTCCCTGTTCCATCTGAGCATAGAACCAAAGCTTTCCGATCAACGAGCATCGTTCAGTATGAGCAGCCCGCTCCACAACGACGTTATCCCCGAAGTGACCATTATGCCCGGCAACAATGGGCCAGAAGGTACTTCCCAGGCCTTTGAGACTGACGCAAGGGACGGGAAAACCGCCTCCCCATCGTCCGACGAGATGCAGCCGCATCCCGAGCATCAGCCGAGGAACCCACCGATGTTCCAACCGATTCCTGTACCGGCCGGAGCCGACCCCACGGTGGTAGCGCTTTTTGCAGCTATCAACCAGACAAACCAGATGCTCGCAATTCAAAGCGAGCGTATTGGTACCCTGGAGAGCAGAGCCCTGCCCAGGTCCCCTCCGCGGGAAGACCTGCAGGGGCACTCGAGAAGCCCCTCACCGAGGACGCTGAGCCGTCGCCCAAGACTGGAAAGGCCCCAACCAGTGGCCTCCAAGAAGCGCGCGAGATCACCTACCCGGAAGGAAAAACGCCGCGAGCCCAAGAGCATCCGACCTGAACAGCCGCTCCGCCAACCAAGGGTGACCAGTCAGGAAACTCCACACCGTGATCCAACTCTCCCTCACTCTCCCATCCTAAGCGACGAGGAGGATTATCGGACACCACTATCCCGGGAAATCATGGCAGCCCCCATCCCCCACGGGATGGAAAAACCTCCCGTCCTGTCGACATACGACGGGACTTCAGACCCGGACGACCATCTGGAAGACATCAAGGCCATGCTCGACTACCGTAACGTTAGGGGAGCCATCAAATGCCGGTTATTCCCCACCATGCTCAGGAAAGGAGCCATGACGTGGTACAAAAGCCTCGAACCGGAGTCCATCACGTCCTGAAGAGTCCTGAAAGAGTTGTTCTCGAGGCACTTCACCGCGTCCAGACGCCATCCTAAGACCGAGGCAGCTCTGGGTGCCATCATACAAGGGCCCGACGAACCTCTGTGCAACTACATCGAGAGGTTTACCCGGGAATCCGTCCAGGTAACGACGACGGACGAGATGAAGCGTTACCTGATGGAGCAGGGCCTCCGGCGAGATTCAAAATTCTACGAAGCCGTGGCCATCCACCGGCCTGCCTCGCTACAAGACTTCCTCGACCGAGCTACCCACTATATTCGGTTCGAGGAAACACAAGCGGCTAACTCTGCCCGCGACACTAGAGACAGAGAGATCCCCCGCGGGTCTCGAGAAGAGTCCCATCACCGCCGCGGAGGAGAACGCCGACGAGAAGAACGTCCTCGGGATGGCCGCGAACAGCGGGGCCCCGCAAGACGCTTCAACGAGTACACTGCCTTGGTCGTTTCCCGCGAGCGCATCCTGGCAGAATGCGCCAAGACGGAGTTCGTCCAAGGGGGAGTCTGGTTCCCCAAGTCCACACCCATGAAGCCGAACGTGGACAAATCGAAGTATTGTCGTTTCCACAGGAGCCACGGACACGTTACGGAAGACTGCATCCACCTGAAGGATGCGATCGAGATACTGATCAAGGACGGACACCTGAAGCGGTACACAAGGTCAGGAGATGCTCCCCGGCAGGACGCCCCCGAAGCCAAAAGGGTCGAGGACATACCTCCCCCGGAAAAGGACACCGGCTTACAGGTAGCCCTCTGTGTCAACCGCCCAGAAGATTGGTACAAACCCGGGGAATTTGGACTCCCAGCTGACGCCAACCTCCCCGAGGGACCCATCCGACCAACCAGTCGATGGGAGTACTTCCCAAGGACTCTGGTCATCTCCGGCG